TTCACAGAGAAGTTAGAATTCTGAACCAACAAGATGTGACAATGAGGATTAGAAAGAAAGGAGATATTTCAGAAAAGAATCAATAGGATTTGGAGAATTACTGGGTTTGGGGATTGTAAAGCATGCAGTAAAGATGGATTCAAAATGTATAGCCAAGAGGAGATTGGCGAACACCTTTCTCAGGATATAGAGTACAGGAGGAATTTCCTAGGAGGTTATTCCTGGATGAATTACATATCTGGGGTAGGCTTGGGGTGGTGTTCAAAAATTGCACTAAATGCTTACTTGGCTCATTTTAAAATTCTAAATTCATGAGGGTAGGCAGGACTTAGTGACTCACCTCTAAAGAATAGGGTATGAAAAAGGATAAATGCTGTGGAGAAAACTCGCACACAATGCATTAGAGAATGATGATGTTCTCGTCCGTCAGTGAGGTCGCGCTGACATCCTGTGCCACCTGACATGATGTGATGAGAACGTACTCCACCTCCATGATATTCTTCCTCCAAGCGCATAACTAGAGTTTAATCATGAGAAAACATCAGACAAACTGAAACTGAGAGACAAAATATCTATTACCCCTCGAAACTCTCAGGGTCACAAAGAAAAAAAAAACAAGAAAAGACTGAAGAACTGTCACAGAGCAAGGGAAATATTGTGACTAAAGGCAATATGGGGTCCTAAATGGAATCCTGAAACAGTAAATGGACACTGCTGTAAAACTTATAAAATATGAATAAAGTCGGGAGTTTAGTTAATAGCAATGTAGCAGTGTTGATTTCTTCTTTTTGACAAATGTTCTGAGGTAACGTAAAATGATAACATTAGGGGAAACTGACTATGTCCAAATTGATGAAATTTTCCTATTTTGAAGGCTGAGACTATGCGATGTAAAGATAATTACATCGTTAGCAATAGCAACTCAAATTTCTAAAGCATTTTCACATATACTGACTCATGATGTGACAATATTATGAGGCTGGTAGAACAAGTATCTTTATGCCCATTTTATAAATGAGTAAACAGTAGCTCGAAACTTAACTTATCCAAGAAAAAAAATTTTTAGTGCCTTAGACTTAAACCATGATCTCGTGAATCAAAATCCTGTGTTATTTTCACTCTCACAAAGTATTAGAAAGACAGGCCAATATACATGTTCATGTATAGATGGGAAAGGGTACAAGAAACACAGAGAAGGGGTGATAAAGGATTTGAGATGGTTGCCAAATTTAAATTAAAGTGAGAACTCCATTGAGGATTGAAGGCCTAAGAATAACTAATGAACTGACTTTCTGCTTTTCAAAGCTCACACATTTATTTTTTTGTCTCTATACTTCCCTACTCCTTATGTGTTAGTGATAGTTTCTCAATAAAAATAAACTTATCACAGTTTTGTGAGTCTGCACAATTATTATAACTCTGGAGCTCCAGAATTACATTTACTATTCTTTTGCTTCCTCTGGCCCCACCATCACGTATTTCTAAAGGTGACTCATAGGTCATGTGGATAAGAAATTTGTTATGGGGATTCTGTTCATATACTTGGTGTGATATTTTTCCATACTTAATTTTCCTTGTTCTGATTACAATAATCGCACCAATAGTCTTGAACAGGGAGCACATCCACATGATACTGTTTTCTTATAATTTAGAAACAACAATAATAAAACACAAATTCTGTACATCTGCAAGCAAGCCCTCCCCCTTTTCAGTCTTCCTAGTTTTCCGGGAGCATAAATCAGAACGTTAAACTTGTACAGGGTTCTGTTTTGCCTTTAAACAAAAATGTATTCTTAACGATGAAAGAATTATTCTGTTATCTCAGATAAGGTATCAAAGGAAGACGTGGATATTTACGTAACTTACACACACACACACACACACACACACACACACACACACACACACACACACACGAAGATGGATGTTTCAAAGCAGGTAGATGAGTATTTGTCCTACAATGTGGTCTTCTGTGTTGATTCTGCAGCCTGACGAGCTATCCCTATGCTTTGCTGCCCCCTTGGCAAACTAGGAGGATTTACAACGGAATTCTGCGCCAGGCGGCCTGGAAACAGCTTTCCCACTGCCTCTGTGGGCTGGTCTAGCTCGGGAGGCTTTTGAAATGGCCATTACAGATTCCCATTGGCTTGGGTATGTTGCAGAGAAAAAATTAGAATATCGTTCCGGTGGAGAAACATATTTTCTCTTTTTAAAATAACTCAGTTTCCGCAAAAGCCACGTGTTACCTTCTGACTTATTTTTAAAGGCTCGGCATTTCTTTCTTTCGTTCTTTAGTCCGGAATAGAGATGGTGCACGACGAATCGGTTGCAGATGTCTGAGTTTGCGCTCTGAACGACGTTCTGGCTCATTTGGGTGTGACGGTGACAGCAGAGGCGCACTGTGGTCGTTTTCTCTTGTCTAAGCTTACATTCCATGTCCACGAGATGACTCTCCTCCAACTCCAGTTAACTTCTTGGGAGTCCAGAGCACTTAGTCGAAGCCGTTTACAAAATGCAAAGCATCTGGATAGCCAAGGCAGAGGGTCCTGTATTCTCATTCATTCTGTCTCATTCTCTCTCCCTTTTTACTGATTCCAAAGGAACTGGGGAAATCATGACGATCGAAATCCAGGCGCTTAAAGATGACTTGCTGCTTTCAATGTTGAAACTCGTGTATTTTCTGCATTGTCATTCTTTTTTGTTCCCCGTTTTTATGCCATTGTAAGGTTCTCTCTCTCCCTCCCCCCCCGCGCCCTTCCACCTAACTATTACACCTCAAACTCCCTCAAACCCGACCCTTGCCATTTTCAAGTGTCTTAGTCTTATTTGAACACGTCGTCATTTGGCTTATGCGGGCACCGGATACATGGTTGGGAGGCAGCTTTTCTTGCCGTTTCATTTAAATTTGGCGTGGGTAGGCGCGTTCCGTACACAATTCCTTTCGCACACGCAAAAGAGTTAAAAGCGAGAGTTACAAAGAGCAGAGAGTTCTACATCTTCAAAGAAAAACAAAGCGCCGATGGAAATAAATAATACGGGGGGCGGGGCGGAGAGGAGAGAAATAAAGGAATCAAACCCAACTTCGCTGGCAACTTCGATAAATCTGGTAACAAGAGGCAAAAAATAGATTCCGAGGGCTGGGTCTGGTCCGGATGGAATGCTAGGTAGGGCTCCTTCCCATGCCGGAGTCTGGTGCTGGAAGCCCGCCACTGGCGCCTTGCCACGCGAGTGCCCCCAGACGCAACACGCCCACTGGAAACGCACGTGAACAAAGCTCTCGCCGCTGGAGCCGCCGCCTGCGGTTTCCTAGTCAATTCCAGCTTCTCTAGGGAGTGTAGGGCGCACACAGGGTTAAGTTAGTTCCCTCCCCTGTAGGAGGGAAAGGGGAGGAGGAGGGGGAAAGTAGCAAACTGTCTCAGGCAAGATACCTTGTAGTTAGTTGTACGTCCGAAACCTGTCGCCGTCACTTGCGAGTTTGGCATCTTCCATCGTCGCCGCAGAGGAACAAGCGCTGGGATATCGAGTGGCCGCAATCTCCGCGCCAGGCGCTGAGCTGCTCCTGCGCCGGAGTGCGTCTCTGGACCTCGGTCCCGGGTGTCAGGCAGCGGCGAGGCGGCGGCTCTGTGCCCGCCGCCGTGTCTACCCAGCTCCGGGACCAAGTTGGCAGTTCTCAACGATGGGCAGGAGGGACCTTGGCGGCGACCCCTAAAACAATACCATGCCCCGGGAGTCCCGCTGCTGCCGCGCCAGCTTCTTTCCTTTCCATCTCCCCGACCCTGTCGGATTCGGATGATACCATTGCCAAGAGACGCGCCGCCAGGTAAAGGGGCTGCGGTGCCAGGTGGAGTTTCCGGTAGCTGCCGGGCCTGCCACTACGCAGGCACCATGCGTTCGCTTGGGCGCGGGGGGCGGGGGGGAGCGTTGTTTTTTAACTAGCGGCGGGTGGTCATTGGGTGGGTGGGATGTTTTAGTCTTTATCTTTCGTCTTGAGAGAAAATGGGTTGCTTAACTTTCCCCCGACTTTAGGGAGGTCTATTTGCAGGTGGAATCCACCTCCTCTAAGGAGTTTTGTAACTGAGTTCTGAGTCAAAACGCAAATTTACTAGCCTGCTGGGAGCATAATCTTAAATTGGGGTTTTACATAGCCACTAAACTTGCCGGAATCCAGCCTCTCACTTCCCCAGAATGAATCTGTTACTTCTAGGAGTAACATCCTCCCGCTCCCTACCACCCCCACCCCTAGCCCGCTCCAATTGCTGTTAATGTTACCAGCGTTATCAAAAGCTGGCGTCTAAAGCCGCCAGTTCGCCCCTTGACCCCAAACCCGGAACGATTAGTGGCTAAGAAGATGCAGGGTGTGCTAGTTCGTTTTCCTTCGAGTTTGGGAGGGTGTTACTTTTCCCCAAACCAAGTCTTTCTCCAGTCCTGCTGGTCATCTGTGGTCTGTCACTGAGCTAGGACCAGGACGAGCGCGTCCTCTCTGCGCACCAGCAGGGGCGGTGAAGGCGTGGGTAGCACACCAGGCTGAACCCAGACTGCGTTCCCTGCGCCGCATGCGTGGGCCGAGCGGAGGGGGGATGATAACGCCCCCAGGTGCTGAATGCAGGGGCTACGCGATCATGAGGAGGGCGGGAGCAGAACCTTGCCAGCTGCCACTTAGGCCCCGCTGGAAAGATCCCTCCGCTGCGCTGACCACTTCGGGTCTCGTCTGCACGTTTTCAGTGCCCGCGCGGTCACTTCTCATTTGTAATCAGGCATGAGATCAAGGCTGCCAGTCCAAGTCTGGGCACTAACCAGGGACAGGAAGTATCGAGAAAGAGGGTGACTGGGGCCGGCTGAACCCACACTTGATGCCCGGGAAACTCCTGAAGCGCTTGGGGCTTCGGCCGGCAGCAGCTGCCGGTGGGGGCGGAGGCCACCGTTGCTGTCGTCCCTGGCGCTTTGCTCTTGGAACCTCCTAGCAAGATGGCACTGTCTTTCCTAGTCCCATTAACTGCCCCAGCAGTACCCCTTCCTCCTCCGGATATTAGTCACACCCTGAGTTTGGGGAGAAGACAAAGCATTTTCCTAGCCATCTTTGCATAATGCAACAGGAGCAGCGAGTCGCGGGCAAGAACCAGGTCGTGTGTGCCAGCGTGCGTCTGGGCCGTGCGTCTGGGTGTATCCGTGCGTGATTTGTGCTAGGGAGGCAAATCGGGCGTTTCTCCAAGTCGTCTTAACACGATTTAGGCGCTCAAATATGTGAAGGCGGTAGAACCAACAGGGATGCTAAGGAAATAAAAACAATTGGGGAAAGTGGTGCCAAGTGACTCAGGCTTGGAACTGAGGAGAGGAAATCATCTCGTGGCCAAAGCCCCTGCCCAGCCCTTGTGCCGCGCTAGTTGAGCGGCTCCCTAGGGAGCTGGTCCTGAGCTAATTTCAGGCTCTCGGGGGCTTCTGGCCTGGCCCCACCGACGGCGCGTCTCGGAGCAGCCCAGCGCTTGGCGTGAGCTCGCTCTCCCTCTTCTGTTCAGATTCGGCCTCTCTCCAGACTTGTTAGAACATGACAGCAACTTACTGGAGGCATAAGCGGAGGGAATGAAATGAGAGGAGAAAACCAGAACCGGCCCCCTCGCCCTCGCTAGAAAGGGACGTGCACTTGGTTTCCTTACACGACTCTTTCACCTTTGCAAAGAGATTGCGAAGTGGCAATGTTGCCTGTGTACAAAGAGGCTTCTTTAGCTGTCAAGCCTGTTTCCTAAATCTTTGAGGCTGAATTTGGTTGTCCATTGTAAGGTATGGGGAAAGTGAACAACGATCTTTCCAGCGGCCAGGGTGAAGGGAGAAAACGGGGGTATTTAAGATAATTATATTTAATTTTGGATTATATTTCCAATTAGAGTTATTTAAGAAGGTCTGGGATCAGGGAACTGGTGCTTGGGTGGGGGGCAAATCGCCAAGGTTGCCTGCATTTGAAATAACGCCATTTTGGTTGAGAGACTTGTCATATTTTTACCCTCTATTCTCACGTTTCGACCATTTCTCAGCGTCTAAGTAAGAGATCTTGGACGTACAACACCAAGCGGAAAGGGGGGGCGGTGAGATCGACTTTCAGGGTTTAGATGGGGGCATTATCCCTAAGAGTTGGGGGGTGGGTGCGGTGGTGCGGGGTAGAGAGAGGAGGGGGCGTGCATGGTCACTGTGGCGTCGGCGGCGTGAGACCTGGAGCTCTGCTACTCTCTTCAGGGAGGACAGGGTTAAGAGCCGAGTCTGACTTTGCCTCTTGGAAAGCTTTGGGTTGCGGCCGCGCCTCCCAAGCATTCTTTAAACCAGAAATGTGGGAGGGACTCCGAGAGGGAGGGAGTAAGGGAGGGAGGGAGGGAGAGAGGGCTCGTGGTGGGGAGCGCGCCAGAGCGCGAGGGACAGAGGGAGCGCAGGAGCGGGAGCAGCGGAGGCAGCGGAGGCGATCCCGCGAATTCATTACTGTAAACATCTCCCGGGGGTGTCAGGAGGGTGTGGGTGGGGGCCGCGGCTCCTACATTAGCCGGGCCGCGTCGGATCCCGGCAGCAGTGAGGTCTGAGCAGCCTCCCGACCCACGCGGGGCCGGAGCAGCACTCTGAGAGCCCCGCGCAGCGCAGCGCCCCGCGCCGGGCTCCGCG